ATCCTAGAAAAGAACAAATGGATCTTTGAAGGTGGACTTTCCCATGTAAGGTTGTGGTTCGATGACACAAGAAACTCAGTGTTAAGCCTCCTTGTAACATAGAACACGGTGCTAATGCAGTACAGGCTCACCTGGTCAGCTGAAATTAGTTAGCCCACCTACGTTCTTCAAAGATTGTACTGGCTAGCTTTTGCAGAGGATCAGGTGTCATCTCTCGCCCTGCAATTTCTGTAAAATCAGGATGGCCTCCCTGTTGCACACTAGATAACTTGACAAGAACGTGTTTTTGTGCCCACACATGATCCAGATGAAATTTTTGCTGCAGGGCAACTTGCTGATGCACAGAGCCAGTATGAAAAATTATGGAAACAGGGCCTGTGTTTTAATGATAAATTTCATATTTTCTTCTGCACAGCAGCGAAAAAAGATGCATCATTCTGAGACTAAAAAGTACAGAAAACATGAGAACCTGATTATGCATTGATAAGCATGCTGTCAGGCACCCTAGAAATTACTTCTGCCTGAGGCCATGCAAATAACTAATTCTTCAGTTTGGTTGCTGAGTTGTAAGAAAACAACCTCAGAAACCTGTTTTCCATTACCAGACTGAAAGTCCAACATGGTTTGCTTTATTCAAACACAATGTTGGATTTTTTTTTTCCTTTTTTCATAAATGCTTGGACTTAAAATATAACGGACAAAACCACCGAGGATTGCTGTGAGGGTCATCCTTTTACCCAAAGATACGGGAGGTAGTACACATACCCAAAATGCATAATATCTACATTTTTGAAGGGGGATCTGAATCCAGCAGGGAATTTGAACCTAAACCACCCTAAGCACCAGTTCAAAGTATCCTGCACTGAGAGTCATGGTACCTTTGCTGATACAGTTTCATTTTCCAGGGATGGTTACAAATTAAATCTCTGACTCAGTGATGTCCCAGTTACTACAAGCAACGTAAAGGATATTGCCTTAAAATGCAGGAGAAACTCGGGACGCGTACGCACATACACGCAGGCATTCGTATGCACAATTCAGCACTGCATAACGAGAAATTAGCCAGCTTCAGATGATCTGGTGAACATGTATGGAAGCACTACTCATCAACACCAAGGTGCTAGTCTGTCTCCCAGAACCAGCATTAATGCAATTAATGCAGTGTGGTGTTGTACTAGCAAAGGGAACGACCCAGCCTCTCAGCAAAACTAGACTACCTGGAGTGCCATGCTCCTGGTCCTGAAGCTAGCCACAGAGCTGGCTGTCTTAGCCCAGTGCTTCCTAACTCCTGTAGTTTTTAGTGCTTCCTTCAGCTTCTTACGCTAAAGCCTGTAATAAACTTAAAAATCACACATTGTGTTGGAGTACACAACTATTCCATGAAAGATGGGTGCCACCACTAAATACATTTCTCCAGTCCCAATGCTTTGACAGACTAAATGTGAATTCACAAATCGTTTTTAAGATAGCTAATTCCCCATTCTGGAGACTTCACTATTCTCCAGTTGTTTTCCCATCATCATGTTCTAAGTGTGAGTAAATACAAAAGTAACATTTAGGAGGGAAGGAAAGATCTAAATAAGTTGCTTGAAAGATGGTCTTTATTTTGCAAACATACTGGCATGTGCTTATGCAATTAAAAACCAGTGAAGATATCTAAGCTGTTTTTGTGGGCTTTGGAGTTTTGAATGAAGTCAAACATTTTTCCAGCTTTCCTTATATGAAAACAACAGTCACTTCTCACATCAGCCTGTGTGACAGCAAGTGCATTTCACTGATAGAAATATATGCTTTTTCTGCAAATCCAAGCATAAATATGCATAAAAATATTCTTATTGTCAGGGGAGGGGGGGGACACACTATGTGAGTAAGACTCATCACAAAGTTGGAAAGATTGGAGTAAGAAATAGCTTCCATGTATCAGGAGACTAAACAGGCTACAATTCTTCAGCTTGGAAAGAGAGATGAGCAGGGTTATGACAGAAGTCTACAGTGTAGTGAGTGGCATGGAAAAAGGTTACTGTAGAATGATTACTCAGTTTTTCACAAAACAAGAGCTGGAGAGCACCCAATCCAGTCATCAAACAAGTCTATGACAAATAAAAGGAAGTTCTGTTTCACAGACTGCATAATTAGAGTGAAATTCACCATCACAAAACTGCATGGAGGACAAAACAACACACATGCTGAAAAAGAGACTAGAAAAATAGAAAATGGGAGTCTACAGGCATAGCACCACTTCAGTAGCCACCATGCTGGGAATTAATACATGGTGAGCTACACCTTCCTTACTGGTTTCCCCCTCTGAATCAGACAGCAAGCAGCCTCAATCAGCAGCCGATTACTTCTTTCCTCACAGTGAACACCTCCCCCATTCCCCATCCCTGCTTGCTCCTTTCTTGCTCCCTTGGGAAGGGGTGAAGCACTGCCTGGAGGTTGCTCTCAGGATTAGTAGGGACCTCTAACGCTGGGAGTCCTCCAGGGAGCAGCATAACAATGTCTTCCTTGCTGTATGGGCTAAAGGATGGTCTGGAATACATGAAGTGGACATAGAGAGATGGTGCACTGGGCTTAAAGGGGAAGCACTCAAGTGCTCTGACAGCAGGAACAGAACAAGCACAGTTCCAGGCAACAGGACACACCTCACTATTTATTCTTAACTGCTTGCTCTGCAGAGGATGTACTTGCTGCTGGGATTTATAGACAACAAGAGAAGCATCTTATCCCAGGTGAATTACTATAATTCTTGGCTCACGATCTGAAACTTATTTGGTTCTTAGCCTTCACTTCTGGTGTTACTCTGGAATTGCAATCTAATATTCAGCAACGTAACAAATGGATGGTGCCACCATCGAGGCCAATTACTTGTTGTGACCACAGAGGTAACAGCAAACATTAAACTGAATTTTAAAATCAACAGGGTCCATCTGCTCCCATTCCCCTCAGCAACACTTTCAAAGCCTACTGGCAAAGTCCTGCATGATGACTCCGAAAATGCTACAACACGAGATCTTTGCTCTTGGTCAGAAAACTATATTTATCAAAATTATCATGTTGGATTTCTAGTACAAATGCATCCCACGTGAGGAGAATCACTGTAAGTAAGACAGAGGAAGAAATCTCACTTACAGTTTCAGCTGTGGTATCTGTCTCACACAGTCAACACTAACTCCAGAAGGCTGTCTATGTTCAAAAGCCAAGAGCATGTTCTTCCCTTTCCCATTAGAGACTTGCATAGAAATACCAGGGAAAGGTTTTAGCATTTTGGATTTCAATTCTCAATGCAAAAGGGCTATGGTATTTAGGTCAGAGATTTGACTGAGACAAGAAAGTCTGATGAAAAAATTCAATTCTTTTTAACATGTAAAGTTTGTACTTCAGAAAACAAAAATACAGGAATGATCACAAAAATTGAACTAGGTCAGCAACGTCTCTTTTCCTCTCAAATACTCTCGAGTGTTGCCAGCTGGAAGCTTGGGTTACATTATGCCACAGCAACTGCAGAATAATTTTGCAGCCTGTAATCATGTCTTAATTCTCACCCTAGTTTTAGAGGTATTCTAATGTAGCGTGAGAGCAGCCACAGAAAGTATTTTGGTGGTACTTTTGACAGCTAATTAGCTTATTTCTCCACTGTACTGAGTTTTACACTGTGTTGCATAAAGTTAATTTCACAAGTGTAGGACAAAAGCATATTCTCTTCACTGACCTGTATACTGCATTGGAAAAGTGTTTGCAGGATTCTCTTGGTATACGCTCAACAATAATGGTACTTATGTGTAATGCTTTTGCTGTCTTGTGTTTCTACACACGTGGATAAAATATAAGGCAGATTGCTAATGTGTTAACTAGCGAAACACAAAAATCAATATTATTTTCATGTTGGATCCCAGAAGCAGGTTTTCAAAGGCACAAATGGCAGGGTTGGCTAAATCCCATGGAAATTCACTTATGGCACATTTATACCTTTGAAAATCTGCAGCTTGCTATTACAAAAGACCAGAATCAAACCTTAAAGACTTTGATCCTAATACCATTTTTACACAGCCAGCAAAGATATGCAGTTGTTCAAAGAAGACATCTACTTATTACAGAGTATGTGCTGGCCATAAAAATGCATTTACTCAATTCATAACAGAACGTACTTAAGGACCCGTGCTACTTCACGCATAGGAATAGACTTGCTAGAGAAATTGCAAGTGAAGGGAAATAACATTGAGATAGCTGTGAGGACCCCAAGATCCTGTCTAGCATGGTCTGAATACCATTTAACTCCTTTATTAGCATAAGTTACCACCATTCCACAGAGGTTAATGGAATTATTTCTATGTATTCCAGCATAGCCCTCTATTCCCACCTAGACAGAAAGAAAAACTCAGTCCAAACCTTACAGATTAACAGATCTCGGTAGGTTTAAGATTCAGACCTGTAACAACAGCAAGCGCCACAATATAGTGTTTTTTCCTGTTGTTTCCAAATCTGATTGGAAGATTGATTGATAAAATGGTGCAAAGTAAACCATCAAAATACTAAGCTGGCTTCCAAGAAAAGGAATAGATTGTTATCACAGTTATTCACATATAGCGGTGCAGCCCCTTGTCCCCAAAATGTTGACTTTTGTTTACAGTCACCATGAATGCAAAGAGGTTATAGCACCCACAGCCAGAAGAAAGTGATTTACAGCTTATTTAACACCCACCCAAAAACATCCATGCAGAAAAAAACCCAGGCTCTTTGATTTCAGTAGTATGGTAACTTTGCCTCAGCCCTAAAACACACCCCCCCAGTGCTGGAGCTGTGGGATCAGCTTGCACCTTCAGTGTGCGCTGCAGATGCA